TCAACGTGACGTAATGTTACGTCGGAACCGTTGTAAGAACCTGCTCTAACTTCTTCCAACAGAGTCAGAAAATGTCTGGTTGAAGTTCCCTGGGACAACCAAAGCTGGGTCTGCGGCCTCGAGGAGCACTGGGAACCGATGAGAGTCTGTTCTCGTCCGCTAAAAGGAGACGAAAAAGGGGAGAGAGAAGGAGCAACAGGAGGTGCGGCTCCGCTAGGCGGTCATGGCGGCTGACTCCCGGATCAAATGAACCTTCGTCAGGGTCAGAACGGGAAACCGCCGTTTATTGTTCAGGTGTTCGGCGGACCACGGCGGCTCCACGGGCCGGTAGCCGCCTGAAGGACGTCTGAACTCGCATGGCGTCCACTCAAGCCCGACTGGGCCAGCAGGCCGTAGCGGTGCTGGATGTGGCGCTGAGAGTTCCCTGTATCTTTATTATCGACGCCATTTTTAACTCGTACTTCGAGCCCGGTACCGGATGGACCGGGACGGTCCTGAAGCTGCTGCTCAGAGTGTCAGGTGAGAGGTTTGGAACAGAGTTGATGCTAACAGCTGTTAGCATCAACGGCTAACAACTGTTAGCATTCACCTGAGCTCTTGTCACCTGAAGGAATGACACGATATTCGATATTATTACAACATTCGTGGTTATAAATACCGTCGTAGTTACTGGACAACTCTGCTACGTCACACGCATGACACACAACAGCGAGTTTCCTGTGAAAAAAAGTCATAATTAATGACGACATCGGTAAATATGACAGAAGAGTGAGTGTGACGTGAAGTGTTTTGACTGATGACGTCTGTGTCCACGGTCACTGTGGCCGTTGATGTGCAACCAACACACACACACACACACACACGTCATCTTCAACTTACTGATCACTGATCAACTGTGAGCTATCACTGGGCTAGCAGCTAAAAGTTAGCAAAACTGCACCGATACTATTTTACTTATTTATTATTATTTATATTTATTTATTTTGCCACCTTTCTGGGCTAACGTGGCTAACGTGATCCGTGGATGGTGTTTTCATGATCAACCATGAACAGAACCTTCAGAACATCTAGAACAACTAGAACTCAGACCAGTCTAACTTCTCTTACTTTAAGAATCCAGACACAGTTCGGTGCAGTGTGGTGGACCGGTCCGGTCCGGTCCGGTCCAGTCCACCACACTGCTGCAGCAGCAGGTTCCAGGTCTGTACAGTCTTTGACCTTTGACCCTGTCCGTGGCGTTACTCCCCTGGTCCGACCCGTGTCGTCGTTGTTGTGTGTGGTTCCTCAGGCGTCCTGGTCTCCGGCGTGGTTCTGCTGCTCTCCCAGAAGGCTCTGTTCAGGTTCTACACCCTCTTCCTGGCCGTCCTCCTGGCCGTGGCGGCGGTGCTGGTCAACTACTACACAACCTCTCACGTGGACTTCTACGGCGCCTACTACAAGGCGGCCCTGGGCTTCAGGCTGCTGCCCAGGAACGGCCCCACCTTGTGGATGGGCGTGGTGGCCGTCCAGCTGGCGTTCGGCGTGGGCTACGGCTTCCCCCTGGACCCAGTCTGCGTTGGCGGCTCTGGTGGTCCTGGACATCATGATCCCTCTGTGGGGGCTGGTGGTGGAGCTTCCCGCGGACGTCCGGCAGCTGGTGGCGCTGTGCTCGGGCCTGGCCCTGGCTGTGAACACGGCGGCGTGTCTGGCGTGGCGGGCGGGGGGGGTGTTCCTCTCCTCCCCGGTCCGCTTACTC